GGATTGTGCGTGGGAACTAATATGTGGAGTACGGAAATAGACGAAAATGTACGGAAAGGTCCGAACTGATACTGAGACGTCATATACTGTCCTTTTCCTTTAAACAAAATCTGCGTGCGACTGGTCTTTCATAAACTAAGTACTGTAAAGTGCATTTTACCCAAATAATCATTTTTTGAAAAAGAAAAGGTTTGCAACCACGCGCTAACTCTGTGTCTAAAATCACGGTGAACATGAGGCGAATTCTGTGCTAGTGTGCAATTTTGGTTGAACACATTAAACTTTTTAATGGCTTACTTATGAAAACTTAACTATTCATAATATTTTCATATAACTCCATATATGACATAACCTTTGTGTTTTTACTATATTCTGGTTTATAAAGGTATAACTTACATTATGGCATGTCATGGCCACAACAACTAATCTTTGCTGTTCCAATGTCAAGTGCGTATTGGTGTACAGATTCATAAGCTATTTCAATACAGCTCTGATTATGAAAGTAATCATGAGGGACAAATGAGAGTTACAAAAGAAACTGTTGTGGATACAGTAATTTGTCATTAATTTATTTCAAGCACTTTTAAGACAAGGAAATAACTGAAAACATCCCACCTGTCTGCATCAGATACTGACTGAGTATGCATCTCACAAAGATCAGTTGGTACATTTGGGAACAAGGAGTCAGTTTGTGAGCAGCACATTAACTTCACAAACAAATTTGGAAAAGATGGAGGATGGCAGAAAAACACCAATGTAATACATTTGTTGGCAGGCAAACCACTTCTCCACATTTGAAAAAAAAAGTATAACTTGTTCAAATAACATTTCACAATTGCAAATAGTTTTAGGGGTAAAATAAACACACCAAATCCTTTGGTATGAACCTGTTTAATTGCAATTAAAATAATATATTAATAATAACTTCCACAAACACATTTTGGCTCCATGACACTGAGAAAACATGACCATTATCCTGAATATGCGCGATCACAAACCTTCAATAAAAGGTTCTGTTATGAGTTCAACTCTTGTACATTTCCTTAGTTAACACTCCATTAACTAAAACAAATCCGTCAAGGATGTCAAGGATTTGGACCCCCTGAAAAACAATCCCAAGTGTTAAAGTCACTAAAAAAAGATATGTTAAAACTAAAATGAATCTATCGGACAAAGTAATTCCAATCAAGGATTAAAATGAGAGGAAAATAACTTTAAAAATGTAATTATACATCATATGGAGATGTAAATCTGGCAACAACAGATTCATATGCCACTTCAACCACATTTTATCTGAATCCATCTACCCTTACAAGGCCACAAAACCCACTGTAACACAGCTGTATTAAAGTCCACCACTGTTTTCACAGTATCTATTAACAGCACAGCTTCCATATCAAATGTACAAAACAAGTCCCCCCTTCATTGTCAATTCTTAGTCCTCTCAGGATTTTCTAGTTGATTTCCGAAACTCCCAGTCACTAATTTATTCAGTAATAATTTAACAAAAAAATCCACATATAGACCTGCACCAAAATGTAAACATTAATTCATAATGAACATACAAAAGAAAAAAAACAGCCAAGTGAGCCATGTTTGTTTTTAGCGTCCACTATACCTCTCTAAAAGTAATCTGGAAATGGATCTTTAAATACAAGTGTCTTTTGTTACACATTCATCATGACTGCTGAGAGCTGTGAAAAAGCTGGAAACACCAAGGTATTGAAGGACAGACAAAAAAAAAGTTGGCCACACAACTTTCCATTCTTATTTGTTGATCTTTTTACATCTTAAGAATTGGTAGGGTTTAAGGAGTGATACATTTAGAGGACAGAGAGTAAGTGACAGAATAACCTATGCATGTATGATGCTTATTATGTACAATTACAGTACCTCTTTTCAAATGGGTTCTATGGCGTAACCATGCTTTGGTAACACAGCCAGGCCTCCAACTACTGCAATGGTGATTCATTTGTTATCTAAAAGATAGTTACACACAAGCTAAACACCAAATACTAGATGTACAAATTGTATAACGTGTGCAATCTTAACTACTACAATCTGTATGATGGATTTCTTCAAACAGGCAACATAATATCTTTTGAAAGACCACATGAGAATGCACAACAGTTTGACACACACTGTGATATAAAGAAAAAAAATGAACAATTCAAAAAAATAACTAAATTCCAATATAGTTTGATTCACTTACTATGACAACACATTTAAAAATTGTTCCCTGGGCTCTTACCCAAGGTGGTTTCAGCTGAAATTATACAACAAAAAGAGATAAACCAAAAAGTCATAAATAAGTATCTTACAGTGAACAAAATGGTTTACAAAATACATCAGATTTAGTTGCCACAGTGATTTGAGAATCAAGTGAAAAATCAAGTTATGGAGTAAACATAGTTATTCTGTTACCAGTGTTGTAAAATGCATGTATTATTGAAAACATTTACTTTAATTAGTAATTTTGTCTAAAATAAGTTCTATGTGATGATTTCTGGCTTGGTCACAGTTTTCTGAACTCATGCAAGGCTTGCGCTGGTGACCCGTCAAGATGAATTTCTAAAACCCTTCTTTGTCCTTTGACTTTGCTTTCTGCTGTGTTGTACTCTGATATTTTTTTTCTCCCTGCCTCACACTAGAATCTGCCTGGGGTGAGTTGGTCCAGGACACCTTAAATGACTTGGGCTGTGTGACAGGAAGCTTTGGGCTAAGTGTTGCCTCTCTCTCTTCCATGTCATCTGTGTTTACTTCCTGGACAGCCTCCTGTTTCTTGAAGGAATCCCTTCGTTCTGATAGTGCCAACTTTCTCATTACCACTGTGTCCCTTGAGTGATGGTTGCCTCCCCGGTGTTGTGGTGAGGTGGTTGTGCGGTGGTGGTGATCACTGCCTCCGCTAGCTATGTCCTGGTGGTCTCTCTGCCCTCCAATGTACAGCCCCTGGCGACCGTGCTCGCCAACACAGACAAAACCTGTGGTTGTGTCTCCCTCTTCATCTTCCAATCCCTCACCTTCAGACAGAGGCATCTCTAATGTATGGCGGCGTGTGCTGTAAGCCTTCCTATCTCCATGATAACTCCCTGTACCTGTCTTGTCACCTGTAAGCTTCTCTGCTGACTGAACTCTCTTGAGCAGTGGTGAGCGTGGTGGTTCTACGCTGCGGGCACGCACAGAATGACGGGCAATAGTGGGAGGGGATAATGTCTTCCCATGGAATCCCTGCAGGGATTTAGGGTGACTTGGGAGGCAGGATGGTGAGCACTGTGGAGAGAGAGGCTGAGGTGGTGGGATACAGGCGAGAGGTGAAGGAGGAATACTACTTGTAGACTTGCAACGACCAGCTTTTGAATAGCGGCCAAGGACGTGAAGGGAACTGGGACGAGCCTGTGGCACGGGTGAGTTGGGGGAGCTGGAGCAAGGTGAGGAACTTGAATCTGATTTTTTTTTTTAAAAGGACAAAAGATAAATAAAAGAAATGTTAAAAAAAAAAAGACAACCACATGTCTCTGAGGATTGTATGTGAGATGCAAAGAAACCTCTCTCACCTCCAGAATGGTCTGGGGCAGGGGAGCGACAAGGTGTAGACGGTCCAGGAGATAGACTTTGTGTGGGAGAACCAGACAGGCTGTCACTTGATGACTGATGAAATCCAGAAGAGAAGCTGCGACTGCTCTGCATGGGAGGTGGAGTTGTGTGCTTAGACAACTTCTTCAACATGCGTCGCCTGCTGCAAAAAACAGATAAAAGTTACATAAAACTCCCCTCTCAGGAAGTTAAAGTAAAGCCTTGGGTGTAAAATAGAGTTAAAAAAGGCACAACAAGGTCTGGGTTATATACCAAATGGAACAGATAACATACTCTTTGAGACTACAGATACCCATATTCACTAAACGTTGGAGACCTGTCGTACCACTAATAATGCCTAATGTGTCTTTTTTTCCAACTCTCAAAGTCTGGAACTTTTACCTCTTGAAATCACCCTGTTGTTTGTGTTTTGTTTTTTATGGTTAAAAGTGTAAAAATACACATGTACATTTGTACCACACTTTATTATTTCTGAAAAAATAATAACAAATTTGTTTTTTTTAAAAAGGCACAACATTTATATTCAAGGACGTAATCCAAAGTGTTGCAATGCTACCTAAAGCTCAAAAACAAATAATGTAAACAATACAAGGTGAAAATTTATTTTCCTCTTGTGTACCTGTCTTGACCATCCTTCTTCTTGCTCTTTTTGCTGCGTCGGGCCATTTTGGCCTTGTAGCTTGCCTTTCGGGCAGGACCCACCTTGATTGAAGTATTCTCAAGTGCAGTTGTTTGAAGAGTCACTTTATTGCCACTCTGTCGACAAACAATTTTCAACATGAGGTCATACCTGGAGGATAAGGGACTCAGTCTCTTATTATGAGAATAACCTTAAAATCAATTAATTTTATAGGTAGACATTACATAAATGCCTGAAAAAAAAATTAAAGAATATGAAATAAATTAATTCTGTTATGAATTTTTCCTCGTACCTTAAGCAGGAGTTCCACCACCTCAGTGTGTAGGAGTCCCTGGACTGACTCCCCATTGACATGAGTGATGAGGTCACCTGCCCTTAGTCCTGCCTCATGAGCTGGGCTACCATCCTCAACACACTAAACCAGAAAAAAATCATATTGAAAGTTTACAGCAAGGCAGGCAATTTATAATCTGTTACCAACATTAAAATGTTTGTGGATATGTCATTTATAACTAAATCAGCTATTCACTATAGAGATTGATTTTGAATCGTCGAATGAATAATAGTACCAGATATTCCTAAGGTGAGGACACATACCCAAACCATGTGATGAACGGTATAAATGTCAGTGTTGCCCATGTAAACTCTGATAGCTCGCAGTGCAAAACCGAATCTCCTCCCAGAGCTGTGGATGACCACCGGAGGCCTGAGGCAGCTGACGTTGATGGACAAATCTCGGCTGGGGGACGAGTCTCTGGATGAGGGGTTGGACGATAGAGACAGAGACGATTTGGGGCTTGAAGGAGGACCTGCTGAATCATCTTGTTTGGGAAATCAAAAAGGAAACACAGATTGTATTTTAGCATTGAAGTATAACATTTCTTATTTGCTACTTAATAATGCTACAGTGAAAAAGTAATATATATAATATTTCCTTGATTTGAAAAAAGAAAAGAAAGTATTCTAAAAATGAGGCAGATCTCTTAACTTCAATATTATTATTTTTTATTTGTTTTAGAGATTACAGAATTCCATCCAGCAGATGGCCCTGTAAACACATGAATGCAGGCTGACTGGAGTTATACTTCAAAACGAATGTTTAATAAAATTAAAAAATATTATTTAAAATTGAAAGTGTGCAGGTGAATGAAAACGATAAGTTCGAGAGGAAATCAGAGCGATGACAAAAATGCCTAATTATTTCATGAAATAGTTACTCTGCTCGCAATCTTAACAGATTTCTTTAGTGCTTCTTCTTACCTGGGGTAATGATAAGTGAAAGGCCGGAAACTGAAGCTGACTTTGGTACTTTTCCAGCAAGAGATCTCTGCGTTTCTGGGGTCTCAAGCTGGTGCGCAATCCGTCGGGATGCCCCTCTCCGGAAGGAGGGCCTTGTGCCTGTGCTATTGCTCCGAAGTCGGATGTGACGCAGGTTGGAAACCATTCCATCTATGAACAGAATATACAGAGCATGAGCACTACTGTTTCACAAATGTAAAATAAGTATAGAGGGCAATTGCTGCTTCTACCTTCCTCCTCGGTTGAGATGGCAAATCGTGGCATGATGTCAAGGCTCTGGGTGCTGTTCATAACCAGTGGGCTGGTGCTGCGCTCCGACTGTGAAGAACTGGATGAAGCACGTGGTCGGAGACTATGAAAGAAAATTGCAGGATGTGAAATATCCCAAAAATTAAATACCAGTTCAGATAAGAAATCTGAAAAATTATGGTATATGTTGACACATTGATTAAAACACACTACCCTGTCATGGAATATTAGCACCCCAACCAGACATGTTAACATTCAAGAGGTCACATCAAGAGCACATCAATAAATCTCAAACTGATGTATTTGCAGTCTCACTGGAATGATGATGAAATGAGTTTAACAGCTGAATAAATGCGAGATGAAAATATAAATATCTTTTCATAATTCATTTTACGTCAAACACTAATTGGGTTATTCATTAATTCCCAATAAAATCAGTCAAGGAGTCCATTTTTTTCCCATTTTGTATTAAGGTTGATATTCTCTTTTCAGGCTCTCACCTCCCCCTCTGTCCCTCTAGCCTCTTATCTCCACTAGCCAGGAATTTGTGTCCGTCAGCAGGGGAAGGGAATCCCTTGCCCTCCCATCGATCTTCTTTCTCCTCACTGTGGCTTCGCTCTATTGATGACAAGCTCTGGTTGGATGGCGTAGAGGTGGACAGGTGCTCTGTACTACTGTACACCTAGAATTTAAGAGTAACACAACAAATGTGTGCGGTTATGAAAATGGATGGATGGATAATAATGTGTATATTCATTCATCATTCATGACAAACGTGGATGTTTTTAAATAAGTTACGATTGCCAATATTGCAAAAACATCCAACAGTAGAGCACTCACCTTGCTGAAGCGGTGAGCAACAGAGGAGAACTGTCGAAGCTCAAGACATGATTCGTCATCATTAGTTTCATCATCTTCATCTGAACCAAGATGACTGTAGCGCTCTGATCGTGCTGCAGGAAAAAGAAGGCGAAGCACAGAACAATGAAAACTGATTTTATTCAAATCACAACAGCTAAAGTGGATTGACCTGAAATAAGGTCTTCACCATCAAAACAAACCAATATTTTGGAATCATGTGCCCACAAATGCTGTGAATATTTACTATAAAGAGTATATGGGTTATTATTTTATGCTAAAAGCCTCTGTGGTAAGCAGATGGTGGATAAAATTTGCAGAAGGCGCTAGTGACGCTATGAATGTTCTTCAAACCCTATAAAAAACTGTAGAATAAAAAGAATACTGATGTACATTAAGTAAAAGTGTAATATAAATTCATATTGCTTCATGAAAAACTGTGTGTTTTTCTGCCAAGTAATTGACATACTGTCAAAGTAACTGGTGTCCTCTTCAGACTCTAGTTGAGGTATGAACTCAGCTTTCTGCCTCAGGAGGCCATTCCAGTCTAGGCCCAAGAAAAAGATGTGCATCTTCACCTCTGTGGCCCCCCCTGGAGTTGAAATAAGTCAGAGTTAAACTTGGTTAATATTCCTGTTCATTTTAGGCCTCCTGAAAAAAAATCCTCATCATGCAAATGTAATTATTTTTTTTAGCCATCATAAGTACATAACATTTATTAGCAACAACACACAAAACTATGACCTTTGCTCAACAATCAAACTGCAGCCAACCTGTTCCTAAACGCTCAAGGGGATTCTGCTTCAGCAGCCTTGAGATAAGGTCCTGAGCATCGAGTGGCAGGGCATCCTCTCCATCTGGCCAGATGATCTCATCTGAACATATAAACACATATGAGTGGTTCAATTAGGGCTTTAAATTGAACTTTAAGTAATGAAAAATAACCCCAAAAAAGAATAAACCTTCATTAAAGTTACAGTGCATAACAATTAATCTCTATGAGAAATAAGTGGCCAAAGTTTTTAATTATGTTAATTAAATTAGAATAAAACATTATTTATCCAATTCTAAATAAATCACCATAAAAGGGATAAAAAAGTAGACTATTCAAAAGACAACGGAGAGGAATGAAGTGGCACAACCAAAGCCTGTGAATACTGTTTTGTGATTACAAATTTGAGAAATGAGGAATCATCCTTACAATAACAAGCTCGTGGCTTAACATCTTGAATGAAGTGGGGGTATCTTTTTTGTTTTTTCAAGAAAAAAAAGGTCTTTGGAGTTTTGTTTGAAGTTGCTTGTTTTCACATCAACAGGAATCTTTGCCAATATGGTTGCAGTTTACTGTTTTACATCAAGCGATAGGGAGGGGTTGTCAATTACAATTTGACCATCAAATGTTCATAGATTTTACACACTGTTACTTTAAGAAGACTGATATGGATTGAGTATTGACAAATTTTTAAACATACAAACATTTATTACCATTTACAATTAGGCTGAAGAGCTCCTCTGGTGTGTCTCCAGAGAAAGGAACACAGCCCACCAAGAACTCAAAAAGGATTATACCCATGGCCCACCAATCTACAGGTTTCCCATAACCCTGCCTCAAGATGACCTCAGGAGCAATATAGTCTGGTGTACCATATACCTGCAAAAAAATGTAAGAATAAAACACCAATAAAACAGGCAGAGAGACAAAAGTAATTAGTTTCAAATGAAATTAAAACAACATAAAAAGATACAAACCTGTTTGTCAATAAATTCTCTAGTGTCTTTTTCAATGTGTCCTTCATACAAATTGGTTGTCATGTTCATCAGACCAATCTTTGAGAGTCCAAAGTCTGTCAACTTAATGTGTCCCATGGAGGTGATTAACAAACTACACAAGAAAGAAGCATAACTACCTTAAGTTACATCAAATGCATGCTTTGAGACAAAAAACAATCAAAGGTGGAAGGTTAAGGGACATTCTGCATTGATATAGGTAAAAGATTGTACATCTATCAATTTAGTAATCCATCCATCCTTTTAATGCTTAAATCTGTTCATTCACAAAAGCAAAATTATTCTGGAAATAGTTTTCTGTGATCTCACTTGTCAGGTTTGAGGTCTCTATGTACAATGCCATAGTTGTGAAGGTACTCTAAAGCAAGAACAGTCTCTGCAAAATACATCCTGGCCATGTCGACAGGGAGGGAACCAATATTCTTCAACAAATTTGCACAATCGCCACCTGAAAACACAGGTGGAAATACATGACTTTGTAGCTAATTCAAGTGGAAATATATATTTAATGCATGCTTTATGTAAAAGAGTTTAACAATATATCATGATAAAGAAATAACCTTGTTATGCACCTATAATAAAATTTACCTTCTACATATTCCATGACCATGCACAGGTGCCTTCGAGTCTCAAATGAGCAGAACATTGAAACCACAAATGGGTTCTCAGCAAAGGTGAGTATGTCGCGTTCAACAAAAACTTGTTGGATTTGGTTCCTAAGAATCAAGTTTTGCCGGTTTATCTTCTTCATGGCAAAACGCTGCCGCATTTCCTTGTGGCGCACTAGATGCACAGCTCTGGTAGAAAACAAATGTGAAAGAACAGCGCAATAAAGATATGCTAACTCACACATATGTACACCTATACACAGACATACAGTGGATGAGTAGACAAAGACTCACGCGGCCATGACTGCTTCCACTTGAACTAGTTTGAACGCATGAGTATGTACACATTACACTATTGGCTTATGGATTGGAGGTGAACAAGTACCCTTGTAAAATGGAATTAATATAATGTAACTACAAGATATATCAGTGGAGGGGAAATAAACCTAATATTTTACCAAAAAAAAGGCATGGAATTAAAATGAGGTTGACTAGTGAATTAAAATCAAAAGGTTTTAGACCTGTATAACTGTAATCGATTTCCTCTTTTACATGTCCTACTTGGATGTCTACAAACCCTTATTCAGAGATCTGTCTGACTCACCCATAGGCACCATTGCTAATGAGCTTTATAGTCTCAAAGTCACTCTCCAATGGCTTCCTGCGCGGAGGGGTGCATGCTGCTCGACTCTGTATTACAAGCATGAAAATAATTAATTGAATGCATAAAAGGAATGCAGCTGAAGGACATGAACCCATAAAATTACAGACACCAATAAAATCATTCAAAAGAAATGTGTCATTTTAAATACATCTAGAACAACTCCCACTGTTATATCAGCAACTGCTTGATGTCACCATATACCTGTATGGATGTTATCTCTACAGAGTCATCAGATTCTCTGCTGGCTGCTCTTTGACTTGGACTTGTCTGCTCCAGATGGGCCACCTCTGTACAAGCAAATAATTAATTAATACCGGATAAATCAATAAGAGCCAGGACAAAAGTAACTTCCTAGGCTGCATGTCACCAAAATTATATCTACTTATATATACTGGATATTTGTATAAAATTCAGTACATTTCCCTAGTAAGATATCAGAAAGAGGTCTCCCTGTTCAGTTGAACTGAGTTCTGATGTGCTGTGTACCAAATTGGGATGCAATTGTCGGTATAGATTAGTATCATTCAGTCGTTCATTATGCAATATAAACAGTCAATTTACACAATGAAAATTTTTTAACATGTTTTTTAAAAAGTATCAGAAACATTCATTAACTGAAACGGAAAGTGAAACGGCAAATTAGTAATTGAAAATGATTTATTGGATATATTGTAATCTGTATTAATTGAAAAATATACCAATTGAAACTTTATGTTTTAGCAGAATTTAAACATTATGGTAACTGTATTGCTTAGATGGTGCTAAGCAATTACAAACACGCCATAAAACCATGAAATAAACAAAAAAGAAACAAATTTAAACTTGCACCTTCAAGTGGATCCCTGTTGAGGCCCAGCTGGCTAATAATGTATCTAGGAATATCAGTCTTTATGACTTGACCAACTTTGGCTTGACCTTCTGCTGCTTCTAAACGTTGGTAAAACTCTTCTGGATCAAATTCCTGGATTAAAAAAGACAATAAAGAGGACAGAGAATCCAAATAATTATTGGCAACAATTTTTTTTGTAAATTAGTTTTTGGGGGAAATACTTAAAAATGTATAATTTCAGTTTGCCATCAAAGGTTACCAAACAAAAAAATGAATAATCAACATTAAGGCCCCCTCCCTGGGCTGCCACCTTATCGTGGTGGAGGCGTTTGAGTGTCCCAATGATCCTAGGAGCTATGTTGTCTAGGGCTTCAAGCCCCTGGTCGGGTCACCAAAGGCAAAAAGTTCCTAGGTGAGGGATCAGACGAAGCGCAGCCCAAAGAGCCCTTATGATGAATAACATCAATGGGCCAAGTGTTTCCTCGCCAGGACCCGGGTCACCGTGTCCCCACTCATGGGTCCCCTTCCATTGGGCTCACCACCCATAGGAGGGGCCAAAGGGGTAGGGTGCAGTGGGGAATGGGTGACGGCCACAGTCGGGGATCTTGGGGAACCGTCAGCTGCAGAAGCTTACTCTAGGGACGTGGAATGTCACCTCTCTGGTGGGGGAGGAGCCTGATTTGGTGTGCGTGACAGAGAGATTCCGGCTGAACATAGTTGGTCTTGCCTCGACGCACTCTGGAACCAGCCTTTTTGAGAAGGGTTGGAAGCTCCTCTACTCTGGAGTTGAGGCGCCGAGCAGGAGTGGGCATATTTGTTGCCCCCCATATTGGTGCCTGTACGTTGGGCTTCACCCTGGTGAATGAGAGGCTAGCCTCCATTCGCCCTCGGGTGGGGGGACGGGTGCTTACTGCTGTTGGTGCCTATGCGCCTAACAGAAGTGCAGAGTACCCACCCTTTTTGGAGTCCTCTGAGGGGGTGCTGGAGGGTGCCCCCCCTGGGGACTCCCTTGTTCTGCTGGGGGACTTCAACGCTCACGTGGGCAATGACAGTGAGACCTGGAGTTGTGTGGTTGGGAGGAATGCCCCCACCAGCTTGAGCCCGAGTGATGTTTTGTTGTTGGACTTCTGTGCTAGGCACAGATTGTCCATAACAAACACCATGTTCAGGCATAAAGGTGTCTATATCTGCTCTTAGCACCTGTTCCATGGCACGCAGTTCTATGATCAAGTTTTTTGTTGTTTTAGCTGATCTGCGGACACATGTCTTGGACACTCGGGAGAAGAGTGGGCGGAACTTTACATTGACCACTACCTGGTGGTTAGTTGGCTCCGATGGTGGTGGAGGATGCCAGTGAGACCAGGCAGGCCCAAACGCATTGCGAGGGTCTGCTGGGAGCGCCTGGCAGAGTCCCCTGTTGGGCGGAGCTTTAACTCCCACGTTCGCAAGAGCTGTCACCGGAAAAGAGTGCCTTCTCCGGGTCGGGGGGATGTCCTACCCCAAATGGAGGAGTTCAAGTACCTCGGGGTGTTGTTCGCGAATGGAGGTAGGGAGCAGGAGATCAACAGGCAGATCAGTGCGGCATTGAAAGTAATGCTGGCGCTGTACCGGTCTGTCGTGATGAAGACAGAGCTGAGCTTAAAAGCAAAGCTCTCGATTTATCAGTGGATCTACGTTCCCACCTTCATCTATGGTCACAAAGCGGCCAAAATGAGTTTCCTCTGCAGGGTGGCTGGGCTCTCCCTTAGAGATAGGGTGAGAAGCTCATCCATTTGGGAGGGGCTCGGAGTAGAGCCGCTGCTCCTCCACGTCGAGAGGAGCCAGTTGAGTTGGCTCGGGCATCTGATTAGGATGCCTCCTAGTCGCCTCCCTGGTGAGGTGTTCTCCGCACGTCCCACCGGGAGGAGGCCCAGAGGAAGACCCAGGACACGCTGGATGGACTATGTGTCTCGGCTGGTCGGGGAACGCCTTGGGATCCCCCCAGATGAGCTGGCAGGAGTGGCGAGGGAGAAAGAAGTCTGGGTTTCCCTGCTTCGGCTGCTTCCCCCTTGACCCAACCCCGGATAAGCAGTGGAAAATGGATGGATGGATGGACATTAAGGCAGTTTTAATCAACATACAGTAAACCTGATGACTGATAACTTCCTCTTTATCAGACACAAAGAAGATACACAGGTGGAAGAAAAGCTCTCATTTCTTGGCTTCTTGAGTGTAAAGATTTTCTTATCACCGCTATAATTCAAGCCTGTGGTGTTACCTTAGTTCAGTTTTTGCATATAGCCTTTCCTTAATTCAGTTGTCAAACTGGCAAGAAGAAAAGCTGAAAAGGTATGATTTTGTATGATTCTATCAAGTTTAATTATAAGTAACTTTGCAAATGGAATATTAGCTACACATCAACAACCAATGCAAGCCCAAAAGACTACACCATTGTATGCAGTGGGGAAAACTTGCAGTTTTCTTAAACTGAATGGCAACTAGGTTGTTGTCACAGTCAAAACATCATTACATTAACAAGTTGTCAGGGTAAATGAGTCACATATCATGTATGCATTTGAGACAAGAGATATTTTGGTAACAACTTAAGATAGTGGACATTACATCAGTTCAGTCACATCACTGGTCTTACGATTATCATTACTTTCAGTCAGGATATGGGTCTTACCAAACATTCCAACAGCCTGGCTGGCCGAGAGATAATGATGAGAATCTTCTTGACCAGTTTGGTGATGATGGACACTTCCTCGCTCTCAGAACGCTCATATGCCTGATGAAGACAGAACAGATGATAAGCATACTTTTAAAAACTTTTTATCTATATTCTAAGGACTGTCTTATACAAACAAAAATGAATCCTTATCCCAGTTCACAATGTACATCTTTTTAGCACCTTATTCATATATTCCTTCATTTTTTAACATTGGGCTCACAAAGTATACATTCATACTGTTTCAATTCCAAGTCTGGCAACATTCATCTGGGACAGAAGGAAAGAAAAGAAGAGGGGAAAAAAAAACTAAAAACCAACCGCCCTGCATGTCAAGCTTTGATCATTTTTGTTCAATTATCATCTTCTATTAGAATATTTCCCTCTAACTCCCATTTCTCCATAACATATTAATTGTTAACATTGGATTGTTATTGAAGGGTTCCGTATAGTTTTGAGTTTGTTTGTTTTTAGTCCACCTTTAAAGTTAATTCAGAGAGACTTTGCGATTCCAGCACTGAAATTAATTATTGCTGGATTGATTATGTAATGAATCACTGCATTATCAAAGTCTTGACCATTGAATCTATGCAACAGCACAAAATGACATCACTATTTAATGGGCTAGAGATAACACAAATCAAGCCTACAAATGAGCATGAAATGTTCAAAGTGATTGAGCAGGCAAAAATTAATCAAGAAGCAGTATCTTAGAAGGAACTACAGTAATAATAAAAGAATGACTAAACAAAACCAAACTATGTGTTAATTAACTTCCAGGATGCATTTCTGGAGGATGTAAAACAACAACCTCATGTAATAGTTTCTCTAGTTTTTCCTGCAGCTCCACAAAGTATCTGGAAGTGACCAGGCCATTCTGGGACTTATCCAGACAGTCTCTTGCGAGCTCCACCAGCTGGTGCTGAATAAATCCCAGTACACCATCAGCCAGGGGCAGAGTAGTGTCCGGAGAATACTCTGAAATTATGTCCAGCAGCCGACCCTCCATCTGGGCTGTTGCCTGTGTACCAAAATCGACATTGAAAGCTTAATCAACAATAAATAATAATAATAATAATAATGAATAACAATGACAGCTGTATATTAACCCTGCAGGTGATTGAGTCAAACTTTCACTTTACCAATAGTTACAAAAACTCCTATCCACAAAATAACTAATTTATGCCTATTTCTACATTGTTTTTCTGATTTATTGTGCAACTGATTATCAATCACAATAATTATTAGCTTTTAATATGGAGCTGAAGGCTCAAGAAAACATAAGGTACCTTAGGGAAGCGTTCTTTGTAGACGTGATTCATCATGACAATTTCATTGTCAAATGTTCCACAGGTCCGTCCAGGGCTGAAGGTGTAATCAATCAAAGAACAATTTAATTTCACATAACTTCAGAAACACAGGAAAACAAATATGATGCAAAATTGAAAGTCTGAAACTGTGTTACTAAGTAACTGGTTAACTGATCAGTAGTAGGATGGTCAAGTGGTTCATACATTCAGAATATAAAAAAATAAACTGCGACAGTAAATGAGACCACCAACATCTGATATGTACTGTATCCACAGGAACCTGGTTATAAGTGTCCACACAAATTACTAATCAACCATCAATGCACCTCCAGTACAAATGTTAAATACAGTGAGCATGTGCTGTCCTCTGTTTATTGCACATTTCATGTTTTAGTATCACTATGTGACATGTACTTTACTATTTTCGGAAAGTATGTATCTTATAATGGAGTTTCCATTAACCTGTAGCATTGTTTTTTATGGTTGTTGAACAAGTAAGTTTTTACCCCACAAATTCTAGATCTCTGTTTTGTTACACATAAGACATCTATAACTAATGGTGTATTTCCTTTACGTCTTTCAAAGAATAAACTTTCACAATATATTATATAATTTTTTTTTTATGCAAAGGTATAGTTTAATTCAAACACCTAAGGCACATAAAGGTAGATAAGAAGGAGAAACTCAAACCCATGACTGCATTTACAGGATTGAGGGCCCTTTTTCAGAAACTAAACATAAATAAAAATAAACAAACATAAATATGGTTATTTATGTTGGTTCTTAATCATACAAAAATCAAAACAGTCTGTTCATATTACACAAAATGCAAGATTAGAAATTTACCACTGCACATACCATACATACTGGAAGAAGAAAGTGGGCAGATTTTTTTACAATTTTTCTATTTGTATTAGAAATCTTCTGTACCTGAGACTGCGTGAACGGAGCCTAACAGGGGGGCTGTGGTGGGCGCCGTCATCATCCGCAACACTCTCTGTGCTCCGGAAATGTTTGAAGAGGAAATGAAGATCATCTTGAGTGGGCTGAGAGGGCAACTGGTGCAACAACTCGTGGGATGAAGAAGACTAAGGGGTAAAATAAGTAAAGAATGTCAAAATGGAGATGTGGTGCACAAAAAAAAAGACAGTGGGTAAAAAAAAAAGAAAAGATGGGAGGTCAGGGGTATGGAAAAAGGCATTACATTCAATCCAAATTAATAAACCAAAAATATATAAAACAGCAGAAAATTAAATCTTGCATTAGATGTTGTGTTCCCTGCGATGGACTGGCGGACTGTCCAGGGTGTACTCCGCATCTCGCCCATTGACCACTGGGATAGGCTCCAGTACTCCCCACGACCCCATTAGAGAATAAGCGGTAACGGTAATGAATGGACGGATGGATAGATGTTGGGTTGTCCTAACTTTAAAGATTAACCAACAATCTTCCTGTGATAATAAGGCCAACTGTCTCTCACACTAACATGTTCTTTAATAAATCTGTTTATAAATCTCTCTCGTGCATTGTTGAATGTATAAGAATGTATTTGGCTGGAATCTTATGCTTTGGTGGTTGGGTAAAGAGAAAAGGGGCCAGCTAATGGAAAGGCAGAAAGCAAAATGAAAGAAATTGAGCAACAGAGAATGTGAGGTAGAAAGAGAAGAGCAGAGAAGAACACCCCAACCAGGAGGAAACCAGAGACATGTAAAAAATTAACAAGAGCTGTATAAAGACCTCTCTGACAGCAAGAATGAAAGGACTATTGTGTGGGGAGACCTCACCGTCTCCAAGGCCATTTTAAATTAAAGATGCGAAACAGGAGCAGTGTATCATTTTATGCAACAAACTACAGTTTCTGGAATTATTTACGATTTTGGATTCTGACTCTTTCCAAAAGGAAATTTTGAGTGGGGAAATGAGAAAGGCTGTACAGTCTCTGTTTGCTTGCAATACCATTCAGGAAAGAAAAACAGGACATTTCAACAAGGCCCTTGTTATTTGTGTGTTCAGCATGGGATTTTGCTTTGGTCAAAAAGGGATAGGCAGAGCTTAGCTGAAACAGTTTTTGTATGAGTTTTTGAATGATTTAGTGGCAGCGTATTGCTAACTCAACCATGTATCCCTTTTTTCCATGGTAATTTTAAAGCCATTCTTGAATTAAAAAAAATAATAATACTATGTTTCACTGTGTTTTTTAAAAAGATGTCAGTCTTAACTGGTTCATCACATAAAATTCCAGCACAACTCAGGAAAGTTTAATTCATGATAGTTGATGTCGTCACACATGGTTGACCATAGTGAAACTTAAAATGTTGAGCAGTTATTTTTTTAACATTAATGTAAGTTTTACATTTTGAATTCAACTTATTCCAACAGGCAATGACTGCATAAAATCACTTCTGGAATATAATTTCTCTGGTACCTTATGTGCTCAGTATTCAAAAAGTGCATCAACCCATAATGAATTTAAAACTGTCAGCAGATTTCTATACAAACAAATAAAGAATGAACCCTTTAAAGCCTGATCCAAGAATAAAACAAAACAGAAAATTCATTTTTTTTGCTTGAATTCCTTATTTGGCCTTTTAACAAAATATGTATAAAGAAAAAACAGAAATACATTTTTAATATTAATAATTTATTACTATGCAATAAGTCAAGATTATTTTTCGTGTAGTCTTCTACTGGCTGTTATCAGGTGTATCTGATTGTGTACAATAGGATTTTGAACAAAGTTTTTACCATTAAATTATGCTAAAGGTGTCAGACGCAAAACATTTCAGAAACCGTATGTATCAAATATGATACATTTGGCATTATAGGGTTAATACTGGTTTAAATGACACTGTGGATTATTAATAGCTAAAATGTGTATTTGTTCAGATTCTGTACTGTGCACGTCGGACTATATCCCTAAAAAAATCATAATACAGATACAGATAAAACCACTGTAGATTTACAGTTCTGTCAACAGAAGAAGGTTTACAAGACACAGCAGCTCTGTAAACTGATTGATAAATTGAGTGAGATTAACATGACCACTAAATGCACCCATGACAATGCTTTGGCAGGAGATTGGATATGTGATTAGGGAGAAGAGACATAAAAACAGAAAAACGATTATCGCTCGACTTACAGATACTGATGAACTGGGTGCATTGGTGCAGTATCCAGATGAAGGGATAGACCATCGTCGTCCATCCGGCCTGCTGAAACAAAACCGAAAGAGAACACTTACTAGGAGCTAGTGTCAAAACAGCACACCCAGTTGAAACGATGAAAACGTCGAAGCACTATTTTACAAATAAGAAGAACTCTTCACATGCATTTTATTTTTCGTGCAAGCAGATACCATTTGGGGCTTGAATGTGCTATGTTTCTCTTACCTTTCCGTGCGAGCCAGTTGGCTACGCCGATGCAAACAGGGGAAGATGTAAATGATAAAGATAAAGAGATAAACAGAGGAAGAAGAGCAAGTGAAGACACAAAGTGAGAAATGAAAAACCACTTAATGTTAGTGCTGTTAGTCTGTCACAGTTTGCAGCCATTGGCTTTCCTTTTTTGCTGCTTCTGAACACCTGCCAATACATTATCATACTGCAGCATAGAGACCCGCAGACACTTAGCTCATGTCACCGCTTGCATGAACAATCTGCACTCAGGAAAAAAAAACAAATTACACCTAGCCCATTACCACAAAAAGAAAGTTTCAAAATGTATGGGACAGGTTCCTTAACTGATTAAATGTGAGGTAAAAAAAAGATGGTCAAATATTTTCAAGCTGAATCATAGTACTCCATCTTTTGTATAAGAAAACGCCAACCATTTCATGTGACACGCAAGCGGCAACTCTGATATTTTATCAGGTTATTTATCTTCTATGTACAATGGAAAAACAAAGTACTCTAACATGCTTATTTAATGCTGTGCTTGGAGGGAATATCAACTGTTTCCAAGCTTGACAACCTTAAAGCAAATCAGTATTAGTATTTACCTGCGGGCAAAATGGAAGTTGGCAGAAGTACTGGCAGATACATTTCTGGGGCTTTCTGAAGGACTGCTGCCAGCTGAATATCCATCGAAGAAAGAAAAAAAACAGAAAAGAGAAAAATTCTGTTACTAACTCTTAAGAATGGATAGGAACTATAATGTGTGCATTCATAGACAAGATGATTCACAAAATTCGATTCAAAGGTTTATGCTTTGATTTCCTTAAAAATATACATCTTTCACTGAAAATTAAAGCAAACCAAAACAGCAAACACCAGGTAGTTAATTTCGGTTTAAATATGTGTGCGGCAAATCTTTGTGTTTGGAAAAGTATCTAAACCATGTAGAAATTTGCACAGCTCATGTTAGCTGTGCAAATTGTACATTACATACATACTGTTATGGTATGTATGGTATGTACTTGTTCACCTACCGTTTCACCTCGCTTAGTTGTGGCAGGAAATGGATATTTAGGCCTCCTCTTGCATGTGCTAGCTGTGATATAATGAATGGAGTCACTATGTCTCTGAGGATAGCACTTAAATTTGTTGTGCATCTGTTGTATTTAAATTAAGCTTTTGTTTAAATTCTATTAGTTTTTTTAGGATCAAAATCATTTTCAGAGATTAGATTTGATGTTGCCCTGCGATGGACTGGCAGACCGTCCAGGGTTTACCCCACCTCTCGCCCATTGACTACTGGGATAGGCTCCAGTTCCCCACGTTCCCAATTGGGATTAAGCAGTTCAGAAAATGGATGGATGGATTTGACGTTACATGGTCAACTGTGTCAGCATGTTGAGGCACATCTTTCCCCACTAGCTCTAAGCAGGGCATCCAGAGGGCAGGCTTCTTGGTAGACTCTTCTGCAGACTCTGTCACTGTAGGTATAATTGTCTTTAGTCATGGAAGATAAATGCAAATTACCTCTGTGTATGACATGCAGTAAAACTTAAGATAAATTACTTCTGAACTTGCAGTTGAGTTAGTTGGGTCTTGTGCATTTTTTTAAATCTAGCAGCCTTAAAGAGCAATGTCTGATAATTGTATTTCTTACCTCATTCAAGTAAACTGTGGTTACACCAGTGCATAAGAAACCCTGCTCTCCCACCAATACAGGTGTAGAACTATTGGCCAGTCTCTCTCCTCCCATGTCTGTCTAAGACCATTGAAAGGGCAGTCTTTAAGCAGGTCACAGAATACCTTTCACAAAACAACCTCTTTGACCCAAATCAATCTGGGTTTAAACTCCTGAAATTGCTCTGCTGACTTTAACAGAAGCTTTAAAAGAAGCAAGAGCAATAGCTAAGTAATGAGTACTTATCCTACATGACCTAGAAGCTGCATTTAACAGTTAACAATAACACCCCTCCTTCACAGGGAGAGCACACTCCTGGTTTGAGTGGCACCTCACTGGTCAGTCATTCAAAGTATCCCGGCTTGGTCCTCCAAGGTTCAGTACTGGGACTTCTTCTCTTTGCCAAATACACCACCACACTGGGCCAGAATATCCAATCACATGGCTTTTCATACCACTGCTATGCTGACAACACCCAGCTCTATCAAACCACTCGAGATATCTGACATCAAAATGGATAAAACCCCAAAATCTCTAACTAAGTCTCTCTAAGACTTAACTGCTTATCTTCTCAACCAAAACCATCATAGACCACAGTATTTGTATCCAAACTGAATCTCTATCACATACTCCTTTAAAGATAGCTAGAAAACTGGGTGTCATGACTGGTGATAAGCTGGCCTTTAAAGATCATGTTGCCTCCGTTGTTCATCGTCTTGCTTTGCATTACAAAGAATAAGAAAGATCCAGCCGTACCTATTTTTTATTTTTTTAAAGATTTTGTTGGCTCTAGTGGCCTTTAATGACAGTAGCTTGACAGGAAAGGGGGCAGAGATAGAGAGGGGGAGACCTGCGGGAAAGGGCCGTGGGCCAGACTTGAACCCAGGCCGCCCGCTTATGAGGAGGTCCTCACACATGGTCCGCCCGCTGTAACCATTAGGCTACGCTGCGGCCCAGATCCAGCCATACTTAACCCAACATAGCACCCAGCTCCTGGTGCAGTCTATGCTCATCTCCCACCATGACTACTGCAACGCTCTCCCAATTGGTCTCCGAGCCAGCACTGAAAAACCTCTGAAGATGATCCAGAATACTGTGGCGCATCTGGTGTTCAGTTAAAAAAACAATCTGCATCACCCCTCTATTCATTTAGCTCCATTGGCTCTCCTCAAGACCCAAGAGCATAAGAATTACTACATTTCCCCTCAGTGGGAAACTAGAACTTGTCTTGCGATACACAACATGAAACAAATGATTGAGAGAGCAGACCATAGATGACTGAATGCTAAAACCAGTCTCAAATACATCAACTCGCCATAGTTATTAGTTAAAAGTAAAAGTAAACAAACAAAAATAGCACCCCATCTATTCAAGGCCAGAGAATATAAATAGAAGTCTTAGATTCCCTAATATGAACAACATATTTATTTTACTGTTTTGTTACCAATCAAGTTTTTGGAACGAGCTTTAACAGCAATAACTTGATTAACTGAGAATAAACTAATTCTGAGCGTTGCATTATAACTCTATTGTCAAAACTTTGCTTCAGAGAGGGTACACCTAATCCCTCATCAAAGCAAACAGTAAGCTTAATTATCGTTTGTAAAAAAGAAGCACCTTTTTTTGGAAACCGCAAATATGGCGTCAATAAAAAAGGTCATGATTTTGCTGATCTTGTGATCATGACAAAAAAGGCAAAAGTGGTGGTACAAGAGATGGTAGTTGGGGTCCGTAAACCAAGTGGGGGGTCATATTCTGATGAAAATAAAACTAACACAGCCCCTAAATTTCCCAGGCTGTAATCTCTCTTACTATAGAGTTATGAACTCCAAGTAATTAAGAACTGGTCTTTGAGCTGATGATGATGAGTAGTAAAAACTACCTTTTCTGAGAGTGTCGCCAATATCTTCCCTCCTTGTGATATATATGAAAACTCAGGACAGAAATAGGCTAGACTTTTCGTATGATTGCATAGTGTTCCTTGTGCACCTCCATTCAAACTGCCAAATGATTTTTTAAAAAAGTGGACAAAAAAAAAAAAATCTACTCAAAACAATACACACAATTACCTGTTGCAATTGAGAGAGGTGAAAGGGGTCGTGAAAGCGTAGGTGACGGCATTCCCACCCTTTTCTTGTTGTTACGGGAGCTGTGAGAGAAGATAAACAAACAAAATGGTCACCAAGAAACACGTTTCATCTTCCAGTCTGTCAGTAATGCTAAGGTGAATACAACCCTAACTGAATTAACTTAAACAGATTACAGCAATATATTTGAATACATTTGTGACTAATCTTTGACAAATGTGAAAAACATGGCTCTTATCCTGCTCATATATTCTAATATTAAGGGGTGAAAAAGTCAATTTCACAACATGACAGAATGTTGTCATCTGATCAATTTTGAGAGCAATGGACAATGCAGTATTATAAAGAAAACATAGCAAATACTAGATATGTATTTTACCATGTTAGCCTGATACATCTCAAGTTTCATTTCCCAAACATTTTATCGTTTCTGTAACATTGAGAAAGGACTTTTTAAAGGATGTTGCCGTCCAAGAATTCTTAGTCATGAAAAGGTATGTCTCTTTCTCTCTGGTGGTGACCAAAATGAGATGTCAACAGTGCCTAACGTTTCTAGGTCTATGATCGGACAGACAATACTATATGGCCCCCAACCCAGTGTGAGAGACACAGCAACAGAAGACAGGGAGATCATTTTAATTCTGGTCCAATCATAGGTCTTCTTTCAGATTCTGCCATTTTATATTCTCATCAGGAAAACAAAAAAACACTAACAATCTTCATAAAAGCATCACTGTATCACATCACGCTCAAGTGATTACTTTTACAACAGCTTGTGGTGACGAGGATTCAATCAGAGATGGGCAGCAATCTGTTGTAATTTTCCAGGTAGCGCTTTCAAATTAAGTGTTTCATGCCTGTTTATTTTTTTTAAGGGTTTACACTAAATAGCTTAAGTAAAAAGGGAAGAGGGAAAACAATCCCTGTACTAAATCTCAAACCTGATATCTAGTAGCTCTCTTCCAGAAATTATTTTCTTCGCTTCGAATGAAGCTATTTTCAGCTATAGGGGGCATGGATGACAGATTCAAGGAGAAAAAATACTAAAAATAACTAGAAATTAAAGTAGTCACAGCCATGAAAACATATTAAGATATCATAATCTATTAAAAGATTGCGATGAACTATCCCGATGACGAGACAGGACAAGTCTCGGGAGGCCTAAGGTTAGTTAAAAGGGTTGAAAAAATGTATCACGCAGTTAATAGAACATCAACGACACCACATTCCCCCTGACCGCAACAATGCATCGATCGCCAGTGAATCTTTATGTCGCTTAATGCGACAGCTGGCAGCAAACAATGCAGCCTGTCTATGCTACTTACACGCACACAGATTCTATTACACATACACGTCTGTAATGGCCACGTTTCTGCTTCGGAAACTAAAACTAGGGCGGATGTAAGTGACATATACTGTAAAGAACTGGAGACTCATACAAAGGCCATTGCCATTGTCGAGCTAAACTGATAGGAACAGACGATGTCCATGTTGCGTTTACGTGCCGTAAATCAAATCTCTCATTATGAATGTCCAACATAACCTCTTTTAAACAGTGAGTGTGGTTGATAAAGAAACCCAATGGCGGTTATTTGCTGTAATGTAAAGATTATATTGCATCTGTCTGAATATATTCGATCAATTTGACTAAAAACAGGTCTTAGATAGTTACCCTTTCGATCTTTTCATCATGGCCCCAGTCACAAAACTCGTTTTGTAGCTCGGTAGCACAGTCCAGTAGTAGTTTGGGTCAGACATGTTGGCGGTGACCAATAAAGCCGAACACAATTTGAGATTAAATATCTCCTTATTAAAGCGGTGGCATCGTGTTGATTACTCTCCCTTGTGATCGTCTTGTTATCGGCGCTGGTTAGGCCAATACGCCGAATCCAACAACGGAAACTCCATTTAGCTGCAGGACAAACTGACCATGATCTCCCGGAAGAGTGGCTCGGTGGTAACAAACAGCCATATCAACCATGTCTAAGCTGCTCAGTTTTCCAATTATAATCAAAATAGCCGAAACAGGCCGTTTTTCTCAAATGGCATTGTCGAGCTTTGCATTCCTCCAAATATTGAGTGATACAAACTTTCCAGCAACAGCAGCGGTCAGTCCACCGCGCAGCCGCGCTACAAGAAGGAGGGACTAATGATGCTTTCAGGTGCTACTGGAAAAATCAGCTACGTTAATTACCCTATTTTTGTTTTCTTTGTTTCCTTTATCTTCTCCAAGGAGACCGGCGGAATCTTTGTTAAAAATGTGTTACTGATCTAAAAAGCAACCATCAACTGAGTGTTAAACATGTAAAGGCGTGAAACACATGTACATGTTTAAATCAGTTGTAGCCAATTGTGAAAACTGGTATTTACAGTATTATTTACAAAATCCGGTGCACTTTTTAGCAAGTAAGAAGAAACCACATTATTTTGAGATGTTTCACAGTTATTACAGAGATTTGTTTATTTTTTAATCTATCATCTGACATAATACCTGCATAAAAACCTTCCTGATAAACACCACAGTGATGCTGCTTTGTCTTTCAGGAGATTTAAAAAATCTTGCCTATTAAGTGACCAGTGGGTAAATAAATTCTGTTATGAGCATGCAAAGCCATTTTACAAGTAATATTGGCAGTTTTGGATGTGAGGATTGAAAAGAGGGTGGGAGTGGAAGCATGGGGGGAGACGTATGATACTTACACATTTCCTCGGCGAGGAAGACTTAGTTCTTTCTAGGACCAAAGAGATTCAAAAGAGATTTACAAATACACTTTTCTCAAAAATACTTTTCCACGCTTGGTTTGAAATACTGCTATAATACCTTAAAATAATTTAAGGATTTTATTCTACATTACTGTTAAAATGCACATTTACAAGGAACACGTAGGTATAACAATCTTTTGCTTGTTGAATATTTTAAAAGCAAATACTAGGGTGTGTTAGATTGATTTTGTCACTCCCACTTGTTTTTTCCTTTCTGGGCAGTGTAAATATCATTTAAAACAGCATGGCCTAGTTTCATTCCGAACAAGGGGACCTTGTAACCATAGCAAGAGCGTGAAGTCTAAATACCACAAAGGCTACTGCATTTGAGATCAAACAACTATAAAGCTATATCGTTGCTCGAATGGTTTCACATGAAATCAGTTTGAAATTAATGCTTGACCTTATTCAGTCTTCTTCATACCCCAACATTTATTTACTCATCCAAACTCATCCAAAAAAGGAAGCGGGAAAAAAGACATCAACAAAGATTTTCTGCTTGTTTCCAGACCATGATTATTACCATATTTAAAATTAGACAGATGGATCTAGACTCGACTTTATTTTTCTGCATCTAATCTAAGGAGGGAAAGGAAAAAAATGCATCTGAAGGGAAACACCCAGTTTGAACCAAAAGGCATTTAATTTCCTTTTATTACCCTCATAACGACCAACAGCTGCAGCTTTGGGAAATTACTTAATGAATACATGAATTAATTAATATAAGTAAACTTTTTAAAATGAAAATTCTGGCAAATAAAGCAACCACTCAAAATAAGATAATCTGCAAAGCATCAGGAATCCCTTGGGCATTTTGCTCCCATCACCAAGGTAACCAGATTGTTAAAAGCGCCAAGATAGAGCTTCAACAAAACACCATTTGAATTAGGTTGGATTTATAGACTTTACATGCATCTTTCTTCTTTTTTTTGCTCCAAATTGCAATGGACTCATTCATAGGCTGATGAAGACCCGTCACTATGAAGATGATTAATCCATAACATATGTCAGAATTAACACACAGACATGGCTAATATGATTAATTCACAGTATATTAACTGTGGTTCAATTTTGTGGACAATCAAAAAGCACATCAGCCCTGACATTCAAAGTAGGGTAAAAGCAGGTGGAATGCCTCCTATCGTGGCCAATAGCTCATTATTCTATCGTCCCATCTGCCAGTAAACAGCTCCGTCCCAGTGCTACCGCAACAGCCTCGGTTGTACCTGCAGACCACGGCGTCTCAGGATGTTCGGCTCATCCATCGTTGAAGATCAAAAAAATTCTAAAGCATAGCCCCTGACTTTCATCCCATAAAACTCTCCTTATCCTGTGAGAACAAACAGCAACCGAGGCAGTCGTCGCACCAACACTATTGAGTCTATCGTATGTACCTCCTCCTCCTCACAGTGTGGAAAGTGAAAAACACAGACACTGAAAACTGGTCATTCCGGTGGCGCGATCATCTGACCTGAGGGGATGGTAGTTAACCTAGTCTAACAGATTGATTGGGGAGGCATGAGGGGGCGAATGTATCTATTGATTTGGGTTTTTTTTGTTAGGTTAATTGTCGTAAGAGAATGGTTGGAAAATAGCAGTTATGTTGATGCAAGTTAAGTGGGGAAATTCACCCGTCAAGTAAAGCAACAGCGTGTCTGGTGGAACACTAGAGACAGGATGTGAAACAATTGCGCTTTGAAGTCGAGCTGGGTAGCTGTGAATGGTCAGTGCCTGTCACCCAGAAGTACCATGATGTGTTTTTCCATATGCAACAATGTCTCTTGTTCTGTGATGCCACATGTTAATTCATGTAAGTCAAGAGGTTGTGAGCCCATCCTTGTTTTGATGTGAAGTTCGTGGTTATTTCGAAACAGCTGCAACCAAACCTCAGATGAATTATTCATGTTGAACACAGCTGTGCATCTTGTGTCAGTATTTACTTAACATGTTTTGGTTGCAAAATATATCACACTTTTTCAGAAAATAAAAATAACAAAGACGCTTAAGTAATAGATGTGGGGCCATTTTGGATCTGATTATTTCTCAGTGACCACTTTAAATAATTATTGTAAGCCTAAATAAATGTATATTTTATGTTTCAGTTTTATATCTTGGCCAGCTTTGCTGTTGAAGGTCCCTAATCGGAATTTGTATTTCTGGTTTCACAGTGTTTCTTATAGTTTACAGCTTCTTCTTTTTATTAAAAGAAGAAAAACACTAAGTCTTAGTTAAGATTTGAACTTGACAAGCTCTTTACGGGGAAGTAAACTCAACACAGGTAACAAGGAAGATATGCTGCTATATGTGAATTCCCCTGGACTGAGACTACTCCTGTATTTGTATGACTCACTGTTTTCCAAAAATGAAAAAGGAAGTTATTGATTTAATGTGCATGTAAATAATCTTTACAAGAGAGGATATGACATTGAGATATATCATAGAGGCAAAGGTATTTAATCTAAAGTGTATATGCTGTTTTGAAATTATGTACGTTCATTTGTGCAAGGCATGACAGGTAGTGCTGTTCCCTTTTCAAAAGTAATTTCTATAGTTATGATTCTAACTTTACACAGTTAACACGGACTAGCATAAAATATATGTCATACAAACAGTAGTTGGGTGATCATTATCATAAACACACCATAGCTAAAATAATTCTGTACCTTATGTTTTTTAAGTTGAAGGTGTCATGAGCTCTCTCTCTGGCCCTGTTAACAGCCATCAATTAGTTTGAATTATATGCCACTCTGCTCTCTCTGCTCTGTCTGATTATCTGCACCTGTTTCTGCTCTGCTCCAGCTGCTCTGCATTTCCTGATTATCATCCCTTATATATCAAGCCCTGTTTTTCAGTTCACACTTGTCAGATCGTCTGGAAGCCTGCATCTGAATCCTGCCTGCCTCCTTTCTACTCTGACTCTCAGCTGTGACACCGGACCTCCTCTGATGTCCTGCCACGGACTTTCGGGCCCTTAGCGAGAGAGCTTCCAACTTCTCTACCAGATTCTTCTCCGTCATTGGGGAACACACATTAGGACTAGGGCCTGGATCCTACAGTCAACGTGTACAGCCAGGGCAATAGCTTTGTCAAGGGTGGAGGGTTGATCATGGGAAACCAGCTCGTCCTTTATGTTGTCCACCAGGCAGTGGAAGAACACATTCCCAAAGCTTCCTTGTTCCAGGAGCTCTGACTCGCCACGGTTCGAAAATCGATTGAGTAATCCACAACGGTCCTTCCACATCAGGGTCCGTGATGCCTGAGCAGATGTGGATTCCAAGTCGAAGACCTTGAGCATTTCCTCAGGTCTGTTCGCACACGCAGGGGTCTGGCGCTTGAACTCTGCCGTCCCCTACAGTTGAACTCGGCCCGTCAGGTGAGTAATCACATAACCAACTTGTGTCTGTACTGTGGTGGAGGTGGCCATCGAGTCACCACCTGTCCAGCAAAAGCCGGACCTCACCAGATGTAGGAGGAATCCAGCAGAGCTCAATGAACGTTCAGTCCTCCATCAGTCGTAAACCCCTGATCCAAGTTGGTCTTCACCTGTCTGATACAACCCACACTCTGGCAGCCCTCGTGGACTCTGGCGCTGAAGCAAACATCATTGACACAGAATTGCTCGTCCGCTGGGCGTAGAAAGCCACCACTTGTCCACTCCCTACAGCACGGGCCCTGGATGGTCACGTACACGGAATGGTCACCCGCATCACAGCCTGTCATGGTGGGCTCCTCTTTTCTAGCCCACATGCAGAACACAATACAGGAGAGGTTGATCAGAGAGGAAGGGTTTATTGAAAACACTGAGTGTGATGAGAACGGGAGTCGTCCGGGAGGGGGCTCACCGAGCGACCAGCCTTCTGAGAAAGGTTGGGCAGGATGGTTAGTTCAAGGGTTGTCAGGAATGAATAGACGAACTGGAACGGGCTTACTTGAGTGGAGAGGTTTACGGTCTCGGGGAGGGTATTTAGAGGTCCGGGGTCCGTGTCCTCTTGGGGATCCAGGTGGTCCAGGGTAGGTGGCAGGAATCCCAAGGTTTGAGCGTGGGAGGGCAGACAGGTAGGCTCAGGTCCAGCGGGAAACAGAGAGGCGGTGACGGCCAGTCAGAGAATCACAGGGAAACCGGAGGTCTGACTTCGGGGTGAGTATGGAAACTCAGGTCAGGACGTCTCGGGGAAGAAAACACCTGAAGGCGGGAGAACAGGTAAATTCACAAGGGATCAAAATGCAAAAACTCAGAGACAAGCTCGAGGAGGCTCAGAGGTACCGTTACTGGCTAACACTCAGGCCCTGAAGATCTGGCCGTCCGCTCCTCAAGTACTCCCAGCTGGATGAGGTGATTGGGATCAGGTGTGCTGGATGATGTCACGGGTTCAGGGAGGCGCGCCTGAAAACCTCTCG